ATTTTCAAATCCAATTTAAAGGTAATTTAAAAAAAAAAAAAAAAAAAAAAAAAGCTGGCTCCCTAAGATATTTTAAGTTTGATATATGTTGCAGTAGTGGATAAAATATTGTTAGAGTCATTGCAATAAGCATTGAAGCTTACATGTGAGAACTGACACACAAAGGCATGAAGCTCTGCCATCATAGCACCAAAATGGCCAACATCTTACCTTCAACACGCTGCTCATCTGGGGTGATAGTGGCGCACTTGATGCCAACATTGTACTTCCTGATGGCCTCTGCAGCATCAATGGTGACCTGGTCATTGGTCTGATCTCTGTAGGGTAATCCCAGATCATAGTACTTGCAGTCTACGTCCAAATAGGGGAAAATCAGCTGTTAGAAAGAGGCAGAGAAAAAAACAACATTTCAAACTATGTTTAGCAGTTAAACAAATAAGCTGAGGCAGCTGTAATGGCAAAGTAACCAAATCAAGCGCCATCTTAGTAGCGGCTCCAAAAACGGACATGAAATAAAAAATGTTAAGTTGCTGTAGAAACTTACTCTTTCCTTGATTTTCTCCCAGATGATACGGGTCATCTCATCGCCATCTAGCTCAACCACTGGATTGGCAACTTTAATCCTCTTATTGCTGGAGTCTGGGAGGAATAAAGTAAGAATGAGACACAGCATTATAAAACTCATTCGACCAACAATTATACATAGGTATAAAACCCAATTGTGGGAATTTTACTTAGAGTTCGTTTGCAAATTATGTCACGCCAAAATTGACCTTTTAGACCCCCCCCCACGCCCTTCACAAATTCTTTTAAACACCCCCCCCCCCTTTTTAGTGTCATGTCACACCTAAAAAAATTCAAATTATACATAAAATTTTCATAACTAAACTAAGATTTTATTTATTCTTTAACATTTTACCATAATGGATTAATATGTAGTATTATTAGAAAACTGTGACATAAAACGCAAAACAACAAAGTCATCCCCGAGACAAATGTAAAATGGCCACAACAGTTTTTTTTTTCATTTATGTGCAGAAGGTGTGCGCGACTGAGTTTCTTCAAGGTACTTATAATACCTGAGGCAATTTTGACCTCAAATTAAAGTTTTTAAAATTACTTGAATAAAGATTTTTCAAAATTACAAAATTTTAGATTAAAAAAAAAAAAAATTGTAACACGATATTATGTCCTACAATACTAGAATTTAGATTAACATTTCATAACTTTAATACCATAGATCCATAGGTATATGCCTAATATTTCATAGGCTATCTTTGGGTACAGTGATGGAGTTGTGTGTAACTTATGACTAAAGCTAGAGTTAAACGCACCCCCCTAACCCCCAAACAAAAACAAAAAAACACCCTGCCTTCCTTTGATTTGATTGATATCTAGTATCTAGAATAATACTAATCTGATAATCTTGATATATCAAATATGGGCCTATAATCTGCTAATCAAATATATTTTATTATGACATCATATTCAATAAAAAAGATAAAACCCAGTATTCAACAAACTTAAATAAATTAATTTGTAAGTAGCACAACATGGTGACGTAGGGGAGCTGCCAAGCTGGTAGCAGACTAAGCAGTGAGACCAGTTTAAGTGTACCACACATCAGTATCTAGAACTGTTAAATTAATTTAATTTAGAATCAATAAATGAAGCTGTGGTTACCGGGAATTGCAGTTCAGTTAATAATTGTAGACCTACTTATTGACTGTGTTAATTTTTTTTTTAAAATGTGACTGTCTCGCTGAGAGTTGCTTAAAAACAGAGTGTCACAGAGCAAGGCAAGGGCAACCAGGTGCCAAGTGAAAGACAAAACTTATGTTTGCGGTCACCGGGGTCAATCACGCGTTTAAATAAAAATATGCTAAGACATACAAAGCAATACTCACAATTTCTTGTTTGTGCATTATTAGACACAGCAACGACTGCTGTATTTTGAGCATTAGTGCCAACTCTTGAGACGAATTTTGCGAGAGATGCCAATGATTTTGCCATTTTCCTTGTTCAAACCCTTGTTACTAGATGAAAGACTTTAAGAGAAGCACCGGAACACACGACTACACAATCATGAATCAGACTCGGCAAAACTATGGGGGTCGAATTCACATATGAATATTTTGTGTTTATAAAATGATAAAGAATAATATATAATTTATTATTCTATTAAGATACCATTCAATATATATATTTAAAATTATAATTCAAAGTATTTCTTTAGTTGAGATCGAATATACTCGTGAAAAGTTTTGATGTTGTATTAACCTTCTCACCCCCTTTAAAAGTTGGCTAGATCTGACCTCAAAGGGATTTCCTTGCCACGTGACATATTATTGGTGAACCGATTGGTTTACGTACTGTGGCGGCCATTCGCAAGGGTATTTTCGGGGTCACAGTCTCCACAGTAACTAAATTTTTGCAGCTTAATGCAATAGTTTAGGCAGGTAGTAAGTATATTTATAGAATTAATCCATTTAATAGCAATATTTAATCATTATTTTTTTTCAAAAGCACCATTTTCTTCTACAATATCTTACTTTTTTAATGTGCCGGTGGTCTATAGCTTAATAGCACAGTTAGAATGTGTATATATTATTTCAAGGACCATTTCATAGCCATACTGGCATACGGTGTACCTCAAACTCAAGTTCGTGCAAGGACACATGGCAATGGCAAAGCCGCTATCATACTATGATGCTGATAAAGCCAGTGTCTACTCTAAAAGAGTTGACAGAACTATAATAATTTGTATTTGCTTACAATTGATTGGTTCCCCCCAGTTAACATTTTCGTAATAAAAGATTTATTTTTTTTAAGTACCAGGTGTACACAAATGTTTTAGTTTTATATGGGCATAAATTCATAAAGTTGACGTGTTAATAATAATAATAATAATAAATACATATTGCCCTGCCAGGGCCTTAGGCCGAAAACTTATAAGAAAAAGCATAGCATAGCAACGCTGTCTTCTTCTTTTAGTTTTAATTGAAAATTAAGAACCAAAAGCTAATAGGCCATAGTCACCACATTAATTTATTGGCAAGCGTGCTATTTTAATTTAATCACAAATTTAATGTTTTGTTCTCTTTTTCTTTTGTCTCAAAATCAATCCAATGACTTCAATGACAAATTGGTCCACTGTAAAAATGTAATAATTATTTATTTAAAAAAATGAGTAATGATCAGTAATGAGACTCACATCTCTCAATTTAAAAAAAATAAAAGTTAAAGACTTAAAAAGATTTATACTTATTATTAGCTTGACTTGCATACAGTTACAAAGGTGGAAAGAAGTTCAAACCACTCAAAATCCCCAGCCCACACCTCTTTTTTTTATCTTTTATAACTTTTCAACTGAATTAAAATAAAAAAATGTAACAAATTTAATTGTCCTAAGTCAAGTCTAAAAATATCAGTTTAAATTATAATTATTTTCTATTATTAATATGACTATATTCTATTGAAATTAAAGAATTAGAAAAATATTATAATTATAAGCTGATATTTTAATACTTTCATACCAAAATTAACACATATCCCTGAAACTGAAGGAATTTCCTACCCTTGTGTGTGTAATTACTAATTGACTCTTCTCCCTTCATATTCTGCATTATAGATTTGACAACTGGAAAGTAATGATAAAGAATTACTCATTTAGATATTGAAAACCATTAAATTTGCCATTTGGAAATCTGACATTGTCTATATAATATAGTGCCAAATGAGAGTTATATCCCCCCTCTTACATAACCTCATTCTGTTGTTTATCAGTAAATCAACTAATTTATGATTATCCTTATTCTTAAAACAACTTAAAAATGTAATCATTCTTTCAAATTTGCAATATGATTTACATTAACAAAAAATAGGAAATGCCACAACTAGTTCCAGGCATTACATCTCACCACAAATGAAATTATTGATTTTAAATTTGAACTTTAAAGGTCCATCTTTGATAGTTGGCTGTCTCTAAAACTCCAGCAAAATGCTGCGAGTAAACAGAGTTGCCATTATGGCAGATATGGGTAGCCATGTTTGCAAGCTAAGTGCTCGTTGCAGTCGAGGATTGCGCACAGCTGTGGGTCAGGTGTATCAGAAAGCAGAAGAGAAGACTATTGCTGGTATACCCTACAAGAACCTCTCTATTGGTGTCCCCAAAGAGCTGTTCACGGTGAGATTGGTCAAATAATCCAATATTATTGAACAAATCGTTATTGAACAATGCTCTATCATTGTCTAATTTTCTACTAAGTCATTTTGTTGAAATTTCTGTTTGGTAGGTATTCAGTTCATTAGCCTCATCTACATTTAATAGTGTAAATCACTTGTTACATTATAATATTTTTATAATAATCATTAACCAATAACTGTCTATCCAACTTTGCATTAAAAATGACTTTTTATAACAGAATGAGCGCAGAGTCGCCCTAGTACCTGCTGCTGTCCAAACCCTAACAAAGAAAGGCTTCACAGTGAATATTGAAGAGAATGCTGGCTTAGGTGCCAAGTTCATGAATGATGACTATGCAGCTTCTGGTGCTAAGGTTAAGGGCAAAAAAGACGTATATACGTCTGATATCATTTTAAAGGTGCGTTATTTGAAAAGGAATTATTATTATGTATTTAATTTTAATTATTCAAATGTATTACATTTTTTTTGTTTACCTTTTTAATTAATACTTTTTCTTTTTAAATGAATTTCATTAACACAATACTTTTATATTGTTATAAGTCTTGTTCGTCTGTATGTTTAAAAATTAAATGTAGGAAATAAAAATTGAATTCATCTAGCCAAATTTCACTGGTTTATCTCACTTTTAATGCCTGAGTAATGTGCTTATTAAAGGGATTAAGAGATCAGCTTCAGGGTTTAATCAATAGAAAACTCAATTGTGCATCCGTCAATTGAATCAAAATATTTTTATTCTCTCAGGTGAGAGCACCACTGCAAGAAGAAGTAGCTAACTTCCGTGACAGAGGGACTCTGATCTCTTTCCTTTACCCTGCCCAAAACAAAGATCTTGTTGACCAGTTATCCAAAAAGCAGTTGACTGTTTTTGCGATGGACTGTGTGCCACGTATCTCCAGGGCCCAAGTATTTGATGCACTAAGCTCCATGGCTAACATTGCTGGTTACAAGGCTGTGATAGAAGCAGCTAACAACTTTGGCAGATTCTTCACAGGTCTGTAAATAAGAGAGAGAGGGAAGGGGGCAGGGGGGATTTACCTTTGGAAGATGATTTACTCGAAACATATTTTTCTAATTTTAAACTAAAATTTGAAGAGGCAAAAAAAAAGATTGTAAATAATTGTCAATTGTTACTAGTATTAATAAAATTAGAGGGAGGTAATACAGCGTTAGATATGGGTGACATGAAATAAATCAGTGTTAATAGAATAGTCACAAATGAATTTTAAATCACCCTGGACAAAATGGGATAAATAGAATACTCACTTCTCAATAATAAAAAAAATGACTCTTAACTCACTTTACATAATTTTAAAAATTACAGTAAAAGAACACAGTCCTTTTTCTATTCAATCCAGGTCAGATAACTGCTGCTGGCAAGGTCCCCCCAGCTAAAGTCCTAGTAATTGGCGGAGGTGTGGCTGGTCTGTCTGCCGTAGGCACTGCCAAAAACATGGGAGCCATCGTCAGAGCCTTTGACACCAGGGCAGCAGTAAAAGAGCAAGTGGAGTCTTTTGGAGCTGAGTTCTTGGAAGTGCATGTCAAAGTACGTCAACAATATTCTAGCTTTCCTTCCAGTTTTCTGACCTCTCTTTTGCATGTTTTTAATTTCCAGGAATAATCTTTCCATTTGTTTGTCTTATTGTATTGTTTTTGTAGCCGAAATATTGTTTCGTACCATTTTCAGGAGTCTGGAGAGGGTACTGGTGGCTATGCTAAAGAAATGTCCAAAGAGTTCTATGATGCTGAGATGGCCCTGTTTGCTAAACAGTGTAAGGAGATTGATATTCTTATCTCGACTGCACTCATTCCCGGAAAGCCTGCACCAAAGCTTATTTCAAAGGTATTTGTTTAATTTCCAAGTTGATTTTTAGAATTGGATTGCTATGTTATTTTATTTTTTTTTCAATAATTGTTTTATCATCTATATGGATCTGACAATATTTTAGTCAAAAATAAATGTCATGCTTTTCTAAAATGCCCAAGTCTAATCAGCTTACACTGTTGCTTACTTTCACCTTTGCCTTGCAGTTTTCATCTAACAACACACTAGAAATAATATTATTTAAAGTTCCCTGACACGGTTTAAATTTGAAACTAAATTTATCTAGGTTATTTTGGTGAGAAGCAGCAGCCGGGTCAATTGTTGTAAGATTACATGGATTATATCATTTCCAACTAATTTTAGGATTAATGCTCCAGACCTGTTGTCTTTTATGATCGTACACAGAGACCTGTCAGAACTAGGATTTTGCGAGACAGGGTTAAAAATTATATCCTGTGGTTTTATGATTTAAAACAATTAAAAAAATTGTGACAAATTATTTCGTTCTTTAGCTGAATGACAGCGATTGCCACAATAGCGAAAACTACGGATTTATTTTTTAAAATTGCATTCTCAACTGCCCTGCGCAGCAGAATTAGATTTTAACATTTTATAAGATCTACTAAGTGATATTTGAAATCTATTTTCAGTAGTCACTAAGCAATAATACAATTTAAAACCCCAGTTTGGTTCAAGCATTCCTCTTGGCATGCGGCCTGCCACGTTAAATATTTTTGCCCGCTGGATTATCACAAGTGAACCATTTATTCATTCAATTGGCGAATAGTTTCAATTTTGGCATAAACGCACCTCTGAAATATATATATACATCATTTTTGTGATGGTATACGCCATTTCGGTGTAGCTACCCCCTTTTTCGTCAGATTTAAAAATTAGAGTGAAATAAGTAATACATTATTAAACAATTTTACTGTGTAGAAACCAGTATAATTAAAACAATTTATATAAACAGCTAGGTAAGGGGAGCCTGATTTTCCACAAGCATTGTGATAAAGTATAGAATGATGCAAAACTATATTTAGGTATACACAGTGCGAACTCGGAATTTTAAATTTATAAGGGGTTCAGCCTCCTTCCCAAACAAACACCCCCCCCCCCCTTACCTTTCTATCTAAGTGGCGAATGACTGGCCTCTTTTCATTTGCAATAATTTCTAAAATATAAGTAAATAAAATAAATATATAAACGTTTGTCCCCTACTTATAGAATGATGCAAAACTATATTTAGGTATACACAGTGCGAACTCGGAATTTTAAATTTATAAGGGGTTCAGCCTCCTTCCCAAACAAACACCCCCCCCCCTTACCTTTCTATCTAAGTGGCGAATGACTGGCCTCTTTTCATTTGCAATAATTTCTAAAATATAAGTAAATAAAATAAATATATAAACGTTTGTCCCCTACTTTGAGAAGTGACCTTTATGAGACACGCAATTCGAATAGTTATTTGTACGTTTTTTTATTTACAATTACATTACAGTATTGTATGATTCTGACATGGTTAAGTACTATTCTGAAACTATACTGTACTGTTTTGGGAGTTCCAGCGCAACCAGGTCTGATGCTCTCATATATCCCATTCTACTTCAATTTCTATTCATTAATATGAATTCTTCCAATATACAAGTGAACCTTGCCCACACACCAGTGTGTTACAACACACCGGGGGAAAACTGCCTCCTTAACCTGTTGGTTTCTCCCCAGGCCATGGTAGAGAGTATGAAACCAGGCTCCGTGATTGTTGATCTGGCAGCCGAGGCTGGAGGTAACATTGAGACAACAAGGCCAGGAGAGCTCTATGTGTACCATGATGTTATCCATATTGGCTACACAGATTTTCCATCTAGATTATCCACACAGTCTTCAACACTCTACGCTAATAATATCAGCAAACTGCTTTTGTCATTTGGTGAGTCTTTTGAGAAAAAGCTTATTTAATTGAGTCTCATTCACCACCATCAACATAAATTCAGTAAATTATTTTGTTATCTTCCCCCAACCCGTTGCTTTTTTTTTTTACACACCTTTTTGGCTTATGTATTTCATTTGTTTCTTTTTTGTCACATTTTTTACATATTCATGATTTATTTTCAGGTGAAAAAGATCACTATCATGTTAACCTTGAGGATGAAGTTGTTCGAGGCTCCATCATTTTACAAGAGGTAAATCACACAACTTAATTGGACTGATCAAGTAACAAAGGATAAGATATTAATAACTATTCCAGTCACTCTGATGTTTAGGTTGTCTTTTATTATGAAACTCAAATTGTAAGGTTGTGGTTTAGAATTTGAATGCTCGACTCTGTATAATTACACAGGCTAGTTATTTAGGTGATCAGGAATGAAGCTAAATAATTATGTAGTTGTTTTCTCTTTGTCAGCACTCTACTTATTTGTTATGATTTTTTTTTTTTTTTAATATATTCTTAGGGTAAACTTCTGTGGCCACCCCCACCCCCTAAAGTTGATCCAGGAGCTCCAGTAACTGTGGCTGCCAAAGCTGTAGTGAAGGAGCCCCCACCTCCACCCAACTACTTTGCTAACACAATGAAAGACTCGCTCATGTACACTGCAGGCTTGGGTGGAATGATTGGTGAGTGTATAGATGTTTAATTGGAATTTTTGTTTACATGATTGGAAACTGGTAACCTGAAAGTTGACTTAAAACATGATTGCTTCCACAAAAATTAAAATAACAAGGTATTTGGAGTTGCCGCAATTTATTTCAAACTATGGAGTCAATGTTGGTTTTCATGGCATGGTACTTTATATACTGTTTTATATTTACAGGTTTGGGAATGGTGTCGCCTAATGCTGCCTTCACATCCATGGTTAATGTGTTTGGTTTAGCTGGTATTGTGGGTAAGTCAGATTCTTTAGGGTCTCATAGTTAAATTTTTATTATCTCCAGTCTTTTTTTGTCTCTTAAAAAATTCATAATAATATATTAAATTTTTAAAAAAATATTTTTTGTTAAGGATACCACACAGTATGGGGAGTGACACCAGCCCTACACTCACCTTTGATGTCAGTGACAAATGCCATATCTGGTATCACAGCTGTTGGCGGTCTTCTGTTAATGGGAGGTGGCTATTACCCAACTAATACATTACAGGTAGAGAAGATACAATTTTTAAACAAACAAATGTTCATTTATGGAGACACTAGCAAAAACACCATAAAATTCTCTGGAAGAATTTATTCTTTTTTTTTCTTTTTTTAAAGGTTCATCTTGCCACCTTGTGGATATTGTGATGTTGCAAAAAAATCTATGTTTTAACATGTATTTAAATTTCTTTCAGGTAGGGGAGGGAATTGACATTTTAGAGCTAAAAAGAGTATATTTTTTTCAGACTCTAGCTGCCCTTGCTGCTTTCATTTCATCCATCAATATTGGAGGTGGCTTTGTGGTCACCAAGAGAATGTTGGATATGTTTAAAAGACCAAGTCAGTTGAATTTGTGTTGTTAAACATTAATTAAACAATTACTAAGCCTCTTGATTATTAAGATGACACCTGTAAAATAATTCATCTGATTCATGATTGTTACAATGTATTCTCTAAAATGGCAGATACTTTGCTATCTTGAATAGTGTGTCCAAAAATTATAGTTATTAGTACAAGTGTGTCCTCAGATTATTAAATAGTTTAAGAATTGCTGCTCTATAATATTGTTTGTTAATTTTAGCATGCTAACATTATCAGGGATTCAAATAAAAATATTCCCATTCATTGATATTTGTTTATCCTGTTTCCAGCTGACCCACCAGAATACACCTACCTGTATGGCATCCCAGCAGCCACATTCCTGGCTGGCTACGGCTACTGTGCCACTGCAGGAACCTACCCTGACATCCATCAGATGGCATATCTAGCGGCCTCATTGTGCTGTGTGGGTGCTCTCACTGGTTTATCATCTCAGAGAACTAGCCGAGTGGGTAAGGCTTATCTTAAAGCATTGTGTGGTTTATTTATTTGTATATATCTAATTGCAATGCTTTTCAAAAAGTGTCAATACATTAATCACACTTCAGCATCAACAAAGTTTGTTTTACATAGTTTTTGGGATGAGATCACATATTACTTTGTATAAAATAGGATTGTGGTGTTGTGCCAGATATTTGAAATTAATAAAAATCAAAGAACAAAAGCTGTCAACATGTTGCCTCAGCTTGGCAGTGTTTTAAGAAGCAATTTAGTTGAAAATAATGTCTACTTTATTCGCCTAAAAAATCTCAATACTATTTGCATGGAATCTACGCTTGTTTAGACCATGGTGAAAAATGGCAGGTTTCTTGCTGCATTGTTTTAGTGCCAAGTGGGGGGTTGGTCGAATAAAAATATTACAAAACCCCAAAATAACGAGACCACAGTAGTAACTTAAACCCGATTTTATAGACCCCAAATTGCAGCATTATAGCTGGATTCCATTGTACTTATTGTCTGAGCCTACATAACTCACGCACCAATATAATGAAGCTATCTTTCTGTCAAGGTAATGTCTTGGGTATTATTGGTGTAACCAGTGGTGTTGCAGCCACACTTGGAATTTTGAAGCCAACTGCTGAGACCTTCACTCAGATGGCAACTTGCATGGGCCTTGGTATGTACATTTTAAAAATAAATAGTTAACTGCTTATTTATTTTAAGATTGTTACATTAAAGAAAAAAAAATTAAGGATGATAATGTTTTACACTCAAATGCAGCTCTTGTAGTTTTGAAATATTTTTTTCTCAGGTGGCCTGATTGGATCTGTTATGGCCAAACGTTTGGAGGTCACAGATCTACCTCAGATGGTGGCCTTGTTCCACAGCCTCGTAGGTGCTGCAGCCGTCTTGACATGCTTTGCAAACTATCTCTTGGAACAGCCCCACTTTGACACAGACCCCGCTGCCAACATGCTTAAGACTTTCTTGTTTTTGGGAACTTTCATTGGTGGTGTTACTTTTACTGGCTCTTTGATAGCTTTTGGAAAGTTGCAGGGTATGAAATTTGTTCTTTACTTTTTAAGTGAATAGGCTGCCTTTGGGGTAGTCAAAGCATTCTCTGGCTTACAGCCAAGAGGTTGTTGGTTATTTGAATTTTTCTTGTACGAGGAGAATGCTTAATTTTTAAAAAAAATAACCATTAAATTTTATTTTAAAATTAATAAAATCCATATTTTCTGAAAATTTTACATTCTGATGAATTGATGTATTTGCTGTCATTTAATTTCTTTTTTTAAATTCCAGGAGTACTAAAATCTGATCCTCTGCTACTTCCTGGGCGTAACCTCTTGAATGCTGGCATGATGCTGGGCAATGTTGGAGCCATGGGTTACTTCATGATGGACAACAGCCCTACCGTTGGACTTAGTATGCTTGGAACAACCACCGCTCTCTCAAGCCTCATGGGAATCACTCTTACTGCCGCTATAGGAGGTGCATTACTTAACACTTTTGTACTCAACTTTTCCTTCAGAAATTGCTTTTAACCTGAAAGGCAGTCACCACATACTTATTTGTACTAGTGTGGTGGGTGGCCAAGGGGTCTAAACTGAGTCAAACACAAGCTTGTGGACTGGAGTTCAATCCCCAGCAAAAGACTAGACAAGCAAAAACATCACAAGTGTACTGGGTGGATGGGACTCGGTAATCCTGCATGGCAACTCATCTAAAAGAGGGCAAGCTCTGAAATCAAACCCGGAGATGACATTGACACAAACAAAATTTGACAACTCCTGCAACGTGAAATGCATATAAAAAGCACAGTGAGACACATGAAGCACTTATTGTGATCTACTGCATCCTGATCTATTTGCAGTCGTCGCAACAAAGTCTTGCCATGCAAAGAATGAAATATATATAGTATATGTACTAGTATCTTTGGTTTATTTTATATTCTTATTGCTTTCATGAATGGCTTGTCATTTTTTTATAACCTATGCTGTTTCTTGATCAGGAGCTGACATGCCTGTGGTTATTACTGTCCTAAACTCCTATTCTGGCTGGGCTCTATGTGCTGAAGGTTTTATGTTGGACAACAGCCTCATGACCATTGTTGGTGCCCTCATTGGATCATCTGGTGCCATCTTGTCCTACATTATGTGCAAGGTTAGATTTTTTTAACCCTACATGTAGTTTAATAGATACATGAGTGGTGATAGAGGAAATTATATTGTTGATTATGAACTCACTACCAACTGCATAAGTGAAGATAAATGTGTTTTTATTTTTTAAGGCCATGAACCGTTCACTGCCTAATGTTATCCTTGGAGGATATGGTACAAGCTCAACAGGCAAAGGCAAGCCGATGGAGATTGTTGGCACTCACACTGAGATTGGTGTTGATGCAACAGTTGACCTCATTGAGGATGCTAAAAACATTATCATTGTACCAGGTAGGTCAGCTGGGGTTTACCATTTATTTTGGAGGTGTAAGTTTATATATTAATTTGATAATTGTGGTCTTGAACCTGGATGAGCAATAAGTAAATTATCTTGCTCACGGAACACATTTAATCCCAAACCAAATATGTATTTTACTTACCTTTTGCATTATGTTTAAAAAGATCCAGCTTAATTAGGAAATAAGTTTTAGTCTGACCACAGAAAAGGTTTCATATTGCAATAGTAGGTTGTATAATTTTGTTTTTAAAATTTGTTAATGCTATCTGCGCTATCTCTATAGCACAGTTCAACTGTTTATAATATGTTATATGTTCCTCCTGGAGCCTAGCACTAATTGATGTGGCTGTCTGGCTGTTATGGTGTTGTCCCTTTCCAGCATCAGTGCAGCGATTTATTTAGGAGGGGATTATATGTTTTTGTGCTTGCTTGTTGTCTACCTCTGTATATGAGGTGATAATACTTGCATGTCATTAATACACAATACCAACAAAGTCCTTGTCAGGCAGATACTGTCATTTATTATACATCACACTTACCAATGTTGCACAGAAATTGGTAACTGTCAATGCTTGATTTTTTATTGCCTACACAAATCTGCAAATGATTTTTTGAAAGAAAAATTTCTATATATTTAAACAGTATCAAAGATTCCTGCCACTTAAAACTAGTTAATTCATAACTTAACATCAGACTGTCCATATTCACTTTCTTTTCCCTTTTTAAAGCCAAGGGTATACTCACTAACAAAAAACTACAGACTCTGCAAGCATACAAACTAGATGACCTCATTAAAAATACAAAATGATTTAAAAAACTCATCAAGGGGTAGAATTTTTTTTTCAGTTTTTGTTTGATTGAAGTAAGAGTTAATTTCGCCCAGGTCCTTTATAGGTATTTGTAGCCTGAAGCCTTCCCAAGTCAACTCAAGGCAGTGCAACTGTTTGAATATGAAACATTCTGGTCCAAAAACCATCCCCCTGGAAAATTGAATATTTTTAAATTGAATTTTGATTAATGAAATTTGACTTTCCTCAAAATTTTCAGGCTATGGTCTTTGTGTTGCCAAGGCCCAGTACCCCATTGCTGAAATGGTTGATATTCTCAGGAAAAGGGGAAAGAATGTCAAATTTGGCATCCATCCTGTAGCAGGTAAATTGTATAACAATCTTTAACAATTTATTGATCAATGAATTTTTATTTTTTTTCTTCCCCCTTTTTGTATGTGTGTTAACTGACTTGGCCTTTTCATGATTCGCTAGATTAGTTAAAATATTTTCTTTTACCAGAGATGGCAAATCAACATTTTTAAACTTAAAAGTTTTCTATCTTTTTAACTCTTAGGTCGTATGCCTGGTCAACTCAATGTACTGCTTGCTGAGGCTGGTGTTCCCTATGATATTGTACAGGAAATGGATGAATTGAATCATGAATTCCCTGAAACTGACCTTGCCCTTATTATTGGAGCTAATGACACTGTCAACTCAGCTGCTGAAGAGGACCCCAACTCAATCATAGCTGGCATGCCTGTCCTACGTGTGTGGTTGGCTAAGCAGGTATGAAAATTTTCTTAGGTCCTAGACAGAAATAAACAGAAAGAGGAGCTAATTATGCTGTAGTCATTCCACAGTCCTAATCCAGCTTCCAACTGCTTTCAATAGTGCCAAGAAGTAAATGGGTTTCTCTTTAAAATTACCTTTAAAAAAAAAAAAAATCAGTATTGTCTTCGCAAATTGAAAGTAGACCTATATTGTGTTCACCTGTTGTTTTTGATGTTTTCGATGAAATTAATTTTTTTAAACTGTAAATGGTGTGTCCCTCTTTGCATCCATACAAAAAAAAGTTTTCATAACATTAAGTCATAACTGGTTTTGATCAATGAATTAGCACCACTATTTACATTTTCTATTTACAGTGTATTGTGATGAAGAGAACCCTAGGAGTTGGTTATGCAGCTGTTGACAACCCCGTCTTCTTTAAACCAAACACTTCCATGTTGCTTGGAGATGCCAAGAAGACTTGTGATGCGCTACTTAATAATCTTAAACAGAGAGCTGAGACAGGTTCTTAATGACAATAGATCACATAGGCTCAATCTCATGTTCTTATCCTTTAGATCTAAATTATTTTTTTTCTTTCAAAGGTAGGAAAAGCATTTCTTTCATCTGCCTGACATCTAGGCTGTTTTTGTGTGATTACAATCAAATTGAAATATTTTCCAAAAAATGACGAATAACTTCTTTAATGTGAGAATGTTGATAATGAATGTTTCAGAAGAGACCAAAGATCCTGTTACTTTACATTTATGGCTTATAGGGTATGTAACAAGAGTAATGCTGTTAATGTTACAATGTGGTGATATGTCATTGACTACACTTTTTAATTCTTATTTCAACTGGTAATATGATTGTTATTTTATTGCCTAGTTTCACGATAATATAAAAAAAATGTAAATGTCCCGTTTGCTATAATCCTTATTTTTAAGACATACATACTTTCAAGTTTTTTAATAACTGACTCATAAAAAAACCTAGCTTTGGTTACTTTAGTGGCAAAATAATGTTTCAATGCTAAACCCGGAGTAAGTGTAGTGATATGATTGAACTAGGCAAGTTAGTTTTTACAAGCTTAGTTTGAATGAATATGTTGATGCTGGCGTGGCGTATTTTAGTGATTTTGCCCAAACTCTTTATTGTAACTTATTAAACTGCCAATGTTTCATGTACCTTGGTAACTTTGATAATTATTGTACAAGTTAAATTTAATCTAGATAAGAGATAATTAATAAACATGTGGTTCTCTTAAGATATACATTGTTGATTGAATCCATTTTTTATCCAAATATTGTGTTTTTTTTTTTTAAATTGCATGATGTCTAAGGGCATTGACTACATTGTGTTATAAACCAATTTTAAATGAAATGAATGCCCATTTTGTTAATGTAAAGCAGCTTTGTTCCAACACTTTGACTCCCATGAAAGAATTTAATTTTAGAATTTACAATATTGTAATATTGGTGATTTTGCTTCATAAATTTCATTTTGGAAAAAAATAGTTCATGAGTGCTTAAAAAATGTCATAGTTTTTATAAGTATTTGTCCAAGTCAAAGAGATAAATTGCTTAAAATGTTGATTACATTTTATGTAGGCTCACTAGTACAAGCCTCATGTCAACAAGTTATGCAGGTAACAAGCACCAAACCAAAGAAAAACAAGACTGCGAATGTATTTTGTATCTTGTATTAAGTACCAAATAAAAACTACAAATTCATCAAAATATATTCGCATTAAATCAAACACATCACACTTCAGTACTAGCTGCTCACACACAACCCTGACTCACAAATAAAGTAAATAAATATAAAATATTTACTTAACTATAATTTACAGCAAAATATATTTACAAAATGAGATCTTGTTTCCAATTAAGTTATGTATATCAGGTAAGTGAGAATCATTTAAGTCAATCAAAGCTAACAAGAGTTTAGTTTTCAAAATATCACTTTGTGTGACTTACATAAACCAAAAGATTCTGGGGTTTGCTTTACAGCTTGATACAAGCTTGTATTCCAGCAAAAACAATAATGCCACATCAAATTTTCATAAATAACATGTTGCTTCAACAAATGAACAAAGTACCATATAAAATTCGTTGATATATATAGCATTTCATGCGTTTTTAAAAGCCTTTAAAATAAAAAAATTAAATCAAATATCATGTTAGAAACATTGGGCTGACCGAAGATCAACATAATTATATTTAACATACTAATTCAGTAAATAAAATAATTTCCTAGTATGCCTTCAAAAATTTGTGTGATCGACTAAACTTTAAAAAAATATTATTTATGAAAGATTGGAATTGCTCAATTTATTCAGTATTTAGTTTATGTAACAAAAGCTAAGATCAAAGTATTTCAACATATTTAGAAGACTTGGAATAAGTAGTTCTTCAAACTAGCTTTTAAATATTGTTAATAAAAACATAATGCTCTATCTTCTCCATTCCCAAACACCGTGGATGGAATCAAGATATCTCCGTAAGTACCTAACATTGACAATTAAAATGAACATCACAGAGTTTCATCCATCAGGCTCCTTACTTTAATTCAAAGCAAAATTTACTCTTAATGCATAACTATAACCCTAATCTTATCTGAAGCCACCAAGGTAAAATAAATATCAAGCCTACTCATTAACGATCATTAAATTAAAAAAACCAGGAGCCCAAATCGGTCTATACTAATTATTTGTCTTTGATTAAAATCTTCATTTAAATAATATTTCAACCTCAATTTTTCAAAGTTAATAAATTCAACATCTGAGATTGCAATATTCGTTCAAACAGCTTATTGCAGTGTAATGATTCCTCACAACGGTATACAACGACTTGTTAAGAAATAAAGGTAAACTGTGTTGGCAACAAGTGAAGATACCACCAGCATGGCACTGGCTCCATGACAGCGTCGGAACTTCCTGTAGGATGCAAAGTACTGGGGATTCTTTTTTAACTCTTTCATGTCTGCGTAGCCGATGACATCACCAACCCCAGCATCCACCTCCATTTTGAATGTCTTCAACATTGCACTGACAATGAGAGGAGAGACCACTAGTGAATTCAGTCCAGCGGTTACAAAACAGATGGAGAGAGAGACAGCCTGAAACAAATTGAAAGATGCAAACTTTAGTTAATACGGTTAAGTATATACCGGTAATAATAATATCTCTCACTTCAAGAGCTTATTTGGAAGTTATAACACTTTATTCTTCTTCTTCTATATTTTGAGGGCCTGCGATCAATGTATTGATCATTCTGGCTACTCTTCATAGATAGACTTCAGAAGTAATGCTACAGAAAAATTATCTTGGTGTTAATTTATTATGTAATGATGTGCTGGAAAGCCACCAAAAAAACCATGCCCTTTGCTTAAAAGGGCTCTTTATTTGACTTAGAAATTTGCTCTCTATCTTGAGGTATGTTTACATTTAAGAGACTTTAACTTTTCCTAAGATGACAGGCTCAAACTATGACTGAGGCGCTGTGTTAATAAAATTACACATTTGCCATATCACTAAACTATTATATTAGAAATAATTTTTTAGTTAGCCTATATTTTGTGAGTTAATTTTGAACTAAAAAATGTTTCAAATTAGATACAAATGTCATTTTCTGTAACACTTGTTAATAAGTTTTTAAAAAACCAGCATCTACTCTTTAATGTTAAAAACATTTTGCAATTTACCTGGACCAAGTGTCCATTCTCCCAGGTGTCCCATGGGTGTTGAGCCAAAAATGTATACAATGTTATGGAAGAACACACTAAACTCCACAGGAAGAACATTGGAAATAATTTAGATTGCACTTTTCCAAACATGTGACGGGGAAGACTGTAGAACATTGTCAAACCTTGAGGAAGACAATACAAGAATTAAAAATTAGTGTAAATTTTGTATTAGGCATTGCTGTATTTGGTTAACATAATTTATTTAACACTTCAACTATTGCAAATTCTATTTAAAAATAAGATGCTGCGATAATCTGACCACGAACAGGGCCGGCGCCTGCCTGCAATCTAAAATTCGGTACCTTTCTCCAAAACTAAGGTACCCCAGATCGCCCGCCTGCGATGTGTTCATCGATCAAACCATTCAATTTTTCATTCTTATGTGACTTATGAATATCTAAGTCTAAGCCAATTTAAAATGCTGAAGATTTATTTTATTTTTTAAAGAAAAAAGATTGGGGTTGGGGAGAAGAGGTCACGAAGACGAATGTGTTGAGTATATTAGTATATTTAAATTAGTCACGATGGGAGAAGAGGAGCATGAACTTATTTGTGGTTGGCCACTTGTGTAATGTCTGCATCTTGATGTTTCTCAAAAAGAGGTAAGGCAAAAAAAAAAAAAACAACAACAAAAAAACACCAAAAAAAGAGATTTTTTTTTTTTAAAGGGCTTGGGGGGGGGGGGGACCCGCTGTCCAATTGGTGGCAATACGTGGAAAACTAATTTTAATGCCGCAAAAACAAGTGGAACATAACTCACTGATAAAATTATTGAAAATAATATCTAATAAGTAATTTTTTTTTTAAGAATGATAAGAGAAAATCAATCTTTAGGCCTACCTGCTACTAATGTAACCCAAAGTTGTGCTCCAAAATTAGCGGCAAAACTTCCGAGATGCATCATTCCATGTAGCACGCTAGGTGACTCCAATTTACGCCGTGATGGGAAGAAACTGAGAAAACATACCATAACAACCACGGCAAAAAACTGGAAGTGGTGCATTCTGGAAATAAAACAATAATTTAATAAGGTTCATGCTTTGAAACACAAGGTAATTTTTATAAATATATGGTGAAGAATGAACCGTGAGATTTAATTGATATCATATTACATTAAACAAAAAATTATTTTAAACCAGAAATTTAACATACATTAAATAATAAATTGTTCATTAATTATTAGATTTATTAATTGGATTAAAGCTAAATATAGTAGTAAAAAGATATTTTAAATTCAAATACACTTTATTAATTAATACTTATTATTTTTACTTTTTTTATATTTTTTTTTAGTTTTTCCTATTTTGAGAAACCTACATTTGAAATCCGGATGATTTAAAAAAATTACATTTAAAAGTAACAGACTAAGATAGTGCAAATGAGTAATATGATAGTACTGAAAAGCCTATCATCCACTACTGTTTGAGAATTAACTTATTATAATTTACCTCAAGGCATCAAAATTGCTGGATACTTGGCTTAAATTTCCCATTGCTCTTTTGAGACGTTAACTTTATGAAGATGACCGATTTAACTAAATTCTCACTTTAAAATAATTTTCTACAGATCGCGCTTATTGAGTCTTAGGGGGCAATGAAATTCTTGGCACACTGAGATTTTCTACTGTAGCTCGGTGTTGAAATTTGTATTTATAGATTTCAGTTTCTTTAATTCGAGATCCCATTGGCTAGCTAGAATTGCACACCCGCGTCCAATGGGAAAGCCACATTTATTCGTTGACCTAAAACCAGCCCACTTGGAGGTCACTGAAATTCGTGCAAGGTTGCACGCGCCATTTGAGGGGTGGGGGAAGGAGAGAAAAAGCGTTCCCTGGACGCAAATTGTGACTACGGTACAATTCCCAACTACCTGAACTACTGTGACATTCTGGTGCGTTTTGGAGTTGATCGCACAACCCTTGAGCTACTAACTAATGCTAATAGAAATAATCACTAACAAAATACTGTATAGACGTAATGTAAACAAATGAGACCGGTGGCGCTTCCAGAAGGGGTTGGGTTTCTTGTCACTTATTATTTTTATGCTATTTATCTTATGTGATGTTTATAAATGTTCAAAGCTTTAACACGATTTCTAGTTAATTGAAATGGTTTTGCACCTACTGCCCACAACAGAGAAGATCATTCAACAAGTTTTCAAGTTTGTTTGTTTTTTTTAATTTAAAAAAATTTTCATTACAAATTAATGTACTTATTAGATAGGTCTACTATCTCAATTTTATTATAAATTATTTCTTAAAATGGATAATAGGGCCTTACTGAGAGTTGTAACGACTCTCACTGCTAGAAGAGCTAGGAGTGGTAACGCATTTTTTTTTACTTGTGGGTTAAGGTGGGGTGGGGGCGAGCATAGCTTTACTGCAAACTTCTTAGAGAACAACATGAATAGATCTTACACGTGGCAAACGTAGATTTTTTTTTCTAAATATAATGAAGCTTTATGCTGGTACTTAGCACATTTAGGCTGTTATATGTGTTTCTGCTTAGGTGATGAAAGGGGAAGTCAGCATCTTATAAAGTTTAATGAGAACTGCATTTGACTATCCCTAACGGATCCAGACAAAAAAAGTCTACACGACACCAAAAATAAAATGTCAATTTAAACTTCAATGCAACTTCTAAATTAAAAACAAAAAAAAAAAAAACTAGCTTTCGAGAAAGTACCCTGCCAGAAAAAAAAGTCTAAAAAAAAACAAAAAAAAAAAGTTAATTTAAACTTCAAAGCAACTTTTAAAATAAAAAAAAAAAAAAAAAAAAACTAGCTTTCGAGAAAGTGCCCTGCCCCCACTTCCCCACCACAAAACCTGCAGATGTATACAATTAGTTTATTCCAGTGGCGTAGGAATGGGAGGACACCTTTTTTTCTTTTTTTTTTTTTATAGAGGGGCAGCATTTTCAGCCAACTTACAGAGGGTGTTTTGTTGTTGTTTTCCTTTTTTTTTTTTTTTTTTTTTTAAAAAGGGGCAACATTTTCAACCAACTTACAGAGGGTGTTTTGTTGTTGTTTTCCTTTTTTTTTTTTTTGGAAGTGGGTTGGGGAGCTTGGCCCGTTCTGGCGGGACAAACCTCAAGCTACGTCACCGGTTTATCATCAAAATATTTAAAATTAAAAAAAATGCGGTCCTTTTTCTTTTCGGGGCTGGGGGCTCTCGCGAGAATTAAAAAAACAAAAAAATAATTAAACAAAGATTCGTTATAGCCATTGCAGAATGTACGTCTCGCCTCTATCTTGTTTTGCTCTCGGCGAACAGGGTCATTAGTGCCTGTCCGCGTCGCTCACTGACTGCCGTTGATAAAAATAAAAGGATTATCTCGCGCGGACGTCTAACCATCGCACTTTGCACCACGGGAAAATCTCGCGAATGGCGTCATTGAATTACGTCACCAATGATTGGATTGTCTCCAGAGAACTAATCTCATTGGCCCAGGAGTTGTGCCGCCAGTATTTTTGTAAGTCGGAGCCTTTGAGTGCTGAACTGATATCCCAGGGCTTGGGGCTTTCCATATCTTTCGAAATTGTCTTGTGAAGAAAGATTTAGGGTAAACTAAATTTTAATTATATACGCTTACTCTAAAATCTGAAGGTCATCAGCCGCCGGGAGTTATTTTTAGAATTGAAAAATAAAATATGTATACGACCGACGTGGAAACATGGACTAGTTTCAAGTGTTTATATTGGATTTTTAACCTCCGACCTCTCAGTTGCGTCACAAACCACCCCAAGCCTCTAACTAAAAATCTCGTAGTTATAAGCAGGCAGTACTTGACACTGTTAAACTTTATAAACACAGATATGATTACGTATTAAAAAAACAAAAAACAACAAAAACAAAAAACAAACAAGAACGCTACTTGACAGAGTTCAAGGTACATAAGTACGATTCTGACATTCTGCTCACAAACACATGTTTATGGCCAGTAGACAGAGCACTTTTAAGCAAAATAACAAGAATAATCGCAAGCCTATGGAAAGGTGAAGGGCCCCCTTTTATGAATTTAACATGTTTATTCATTTATCTTTAAATCTTTTTTTGATGTGACTTTTTTTTTTTTTAAAACGTCTTTATTTGCATTGTTTAATATTTATTTTTATTTTTTAAAATTGACAAATTTACTTGGTCAACAACATTAAATTTAATTATTCTTGAAATAACGACATAATTAGAGACTAGAGATACGTGCGGTAATGGACAGGGGCGGATCTTAAAATATTCATGGGCCTCGGTATGGATATTAATGTTTAATTTTACAAAGGCTCACGTCATCATATACGGTGACAAACAAAAACCCGGGGGGGGGGGGGGGTGGGGCCGAGGGAGGAAGGCAAGTGGTCGGCTTTATTTGTGGGGAAAATAAAACTTTATTGTTGTTTTTTTTAAAATCCTTTATATTAGCTTCGCTTTTGTTCGTGGCTGGTAAAATCTTCGGGCGGCTAATTGACCCACTTTCCGTCAATCTATCGAGCTGAAACTTGAAACTCGTTGCCGATGACATCTGATTCTTTCAAATTTTCAGCCACCTCCACACCCCAAAAATTAATTTTTCCTGTTTTCAAGGGGAAGATGAATGAGATATGATGTCACTGATTTCATGAAATAAAATTCTCGATAACTGCGCAAAATGAAATTCTTTTTTTTTTTTAAAAACCGCAAATATGTTTGGTGCGTAATATTTCTTTTGTTTTTATGAAATTGTTGGTGCAAACAATGAGTAGGAGGCGACCCGTGCAGAAATGTCCACTCGCTTGTTGTCTGTTCGTGGGAATTATTTACTTTAAAAAAAAACCTATGCATATTAAGTTGTTCGCAGAGAATAATATATACATAGCAATATATTATATATCAATGTAACCATTGGTCCACACCTCGTATTCTCAATGGACACATTGGTACACAGCGTAGTATCAATGTACACATTGGTACACACAGCGTATTCTCAATGTAAACATTGGTACACAGCGAAGTATCAATGGACACATTGGTACACAGCGTAGTATCAATGTACACATTGGTACACGCAGCGTATTCTCAATGTAAACATTGGTACACAGCGAAGTATCAATGGACACATTGGTACACAGCGTAGTATCAATGTACACATTGGTACACACAGCGTATTCTCTATGTAGACATTGGTACACAGCGTAGTATCAATGTAACTTTTCGATCTGATGAAATTGGATGGCTCTTTTAGTAACTTATTCTACTATAAGTCCAGTGACATCAATGTAGTGTGCGCCAGACATGATGGCACCCCAGCACGTGTACAAAATGAACCAAATAAATACATTTTTGAAAATGGTGCCGATGATGCATAGCTAACCATAAAATTCGACCCATTCTTATATAGTGCGTATATATCTACAGGGGCGTGGGAATGGGGGCCCGCAGGGGGAGTTTGCTTTATATATATATATATATATATATATATATATATATATATATAGAGAGAGAGAGAGAGAGAGAGAGAGAGAGAGAGAGAGAGAGAGAGAGAGAGAGAGAGAGAGAGAGAGAGAGAGAGGGGGTGGCATTTCCGACCAACTGCAGATGGGTTGGGTTTTTTTTTTTCGTGGAGGGGAAGAGGGGAAGAGAGAGAGAGAGAGAGAGAGAGAGAGAGAGAGAGGGGGTGGCATTTCCGACCAACTGCAGATGGGTTGGGTTTTTTTTTTTCGTGGAGGGGAAGAGGGGGGGGGGAATCGTGGCCCGCCCGGACGGTACTAACCCTAGATATACACTACTGTATGTACCCTAGCTATACACTACTGGATGTACCCTAGCTATACACTACTGTATGTACCCTAGCTATACACTACTGTATGTACCCTAGCTATACACTACTGTATGTACCCTAGCTATACACCATTGTATGTACCCTAGCTATACACCACTGTGTGTACCCTAGCTATACACTACTGTGTGTACCCTAGCTATACACTACTGTGTGTACCCTAGCTATACACTACTGTATGTACCCTAGCTATACACTACTGTATTTACCCTAGCTATACACTACTGTATGTACCCTAGCTATACACTACTGTGTGTCTGCTCTGTCTTGCAAACGAAAAGGCTCAAAATAGCAGTCGGTAGGTAGTCGGGTACATATAGTGTGACGGTAAGGAGTTCAATCCCCTTCTGGCTGGTAGCAAAATATCATAGTTCTAAGATGGTGTCAAGTGTCAACGTTTCAGAAGAATAAAGAAAAAGATTGTTGTTGTTTTTTGTTTTTTAATGCAGTTTACCAACACCCAATTTCCAAAAAACACTCACAAGTAGATGGCGGGTCAGCTGTTCCCGGATAAAACTCCATCTGGATCCGTGTCTCTTTCAACATCCGTTTTGTTTAGGAACGTTCCGTGGGACGGTCAGGGGGGGGGAGGGGGGGGGGGGGGGGGTGTTTGGTCATGCGCCCTGGATTGAAAACTTTAAATTGATGCATTTAAATTAAAAGCACTGAAAATGAAGACTGAAAGTTTTTACCTTCATAACAAATGGGCACGTCTGTATAAAAAAAATAATAAAACATAAAACGCAACCAGAGGCGTAGCGAGGAGGGGGCAGGGGGGACAGATGTCCCCGGGCACAAGCTTGTTAGGGGCGCCA